CTGTTACTACTAGCGTGGCACCTGTTTAGACTAGCTTCTTGTTACTAGTAGTAAGGCACCTGTTACTACTAGCGTGGCACCTGTTTCTACTAGCTTCTTGTTACTAGTAGTAAGGCACCTGTTACTACTAGCGTGGCACCTGTTTCTACTAGCTTCTTGTTACTAGTAGTAAGGCACCTGTTACTACTAGCGTGGCACCTGTTACTACTAGCTTCTTGTTACTACTAGCAAGGCCCTTGTTCCTAGTAGCGATGCCAGGAGCCCCTAGTAGCGTCCTTGCTCCTAGTTCTTTCTTAACTGGTCATCTCCTTGATGTGAGCCAAACTCACCTGGTCTTTGTAGATGGTGATGGTGTTCAAAGGAACAGTTTCAAAGATCCTGGCCACCTGTGGTGATTGAGGGTGACCCCCGTCCAACTCATCCTTGCCCACTGCACAGCCATCCAACTCAATTTTCTTTCAATTCTTTTTAAATTCAAATTCAATCCTAGTAAATCTTAATTGTATGATTCTGTATGATAAGTTCATTCTATTTGCATTCAATGTTTAGTTCAGCTTCTCCTTTCACCTGCTCAGGGCGGAGAGTGCTGAGAAAGCTGAGAGTGCCCCATACGTCTATGGCGCCGCAGGGCAAAGACCCTTCGCGTAAGCCTGGGCATCAAAAAAGACATTTGAGCCATTGGGTGTAGAGCAGCTATTAGAAACAAGAAGCTACTAGGAGCAAGTGCATCGCTACTAGTAACAAGTGCCTTGCTAGTAGTAACAAGAAGCTACTAGGAACAAGTGCATCGCTACTAGTAACAAGTGCCTTACTAGTAGTAACAAGAAGCTGCAATCATACAGGAGCCCTAAGGCTCACCGATTCAATGGACATCCTTCTTGTGGCCAATTGCTCGTTGGCTTGGGGTCCGTCTTTACTTTGGAGCTTCGCAGTTTGGTTTGGTTTCGATTGTGACTTGGTAGGAAGCATGGAATGAGAATTGTTGAATGTTCCCTGGTGTCCAGGATTCAGAGTGGTCAGGAGTCTTTGCTCTCCCAAGTCCTTGTCCCAACCTGAACCCTACAGGGCCCTACGGCAGTTTTCGGCAGGTGGTCAGCATGCTTCCACCGCTCTTTCTGGGTCAGAAGCTCAAACCTAGGGATGGAATGTTAAGGAGTCACGAGCCGTAGTCGGCAGATCTTCAATACTCTTAATAGCTTCTTGTTACTACTAGTAAGGCCCTTGTTACTAGTAGCGATGCACTTGCTCCTAGTAGCTTCTTTTTTCTAATATGTGTGTCGTCCTGGCTTTTTACTTTTTCCTTTGCAAATACAGGATTTCCAGGTTTCCGGTTGCCTGGAGTCTTTTCGTCATCGCCCAGGTGTGGAGCCCCACCACACGGTCCTGGATCTTTGTGCCGCGCCGGGCTCCAAGACCTTCCAGATGTTGGAGGCCGGAATGGACGTCGACTTCTTCAGCTCACCACGTAAAGTCAATTGATTGTTCGACACGTAAAGTCAAGGTTTTTTTTTCTTTTTTCATCCGGACATCTAGACACTGTCCTCAAACAATAGGGGGGCCCCCTAGGCCCATTGGGTACGTATTGGTCACGACACTCACAATGCCGTTCGGATCTTGATGGAGGCCATCGCTTGGTTCAGGAACTCTTTCGTATCTTCAGTCCACAAGTTTAGCCAAAGCGGATGACACTGCGGGCAGGTCATGCATTGGCCACAATCGGAGGGAGGAACTCCTCCCACAGGATTCGTGGGGAACCTGGTGGCACTATGAGTCGCACTTCGTGGGGAACACTTGTTCCTAGTAGCTTATTGTTCCTAGAAGCGATGCACTTGTTCCTCGTAGCTTATTGCTTCGATACGAAAGGTCAACTTCTTGATCACTGAAGATCTAACTCCGTCCTTGTCCTTTTGTTCCTAAGACTTCGTGATGCATGTTGTATTTCAGACTCACCCAGCTACAGTAGCTACAGCTTCAAGTCTTCAAACTTTCTGTCCGTGAAAGTCTTCAGCTTCGGTGCTGCTTTGAGTCCTTGTGCCCAGATCCTTGCCAACGAATTGCAGTGGCGCAGGGCCAACATGCTGGCACACCAGGTGCCAGTGCGTCACCTTTCAGTTTGTGTCCCGCATCGTTACGAACGAGCCGCTGTAGGAAAACCAGTAAAGCACCTTACTACTTGTAGCTTCTTGCTACTACTAGTAATGCCCTTGCTGACTTTGTTCGCACAAATCTAAAGGTTGACAGCTGTGAAAGCCTTGGATCCCACGGGAAAACTATCGGAAGAAGAACGCATTTGCAACCTTACGTCTGTGGTCTTAGGCAGCCTAACACATACATGTTCAAAAGGTGTGTCCTAGAGGCTAGACGGCTGGACCTGTTGAAAAAAAAAAGTGTTTCTGTCTTTTCTTTTTGCACTGCTACCTTTGCTTTAGACATGAGTTTTCTCGTCAACCTCCAGGTGGGCCGACTGGGCTCGCCATGCATGGTGGTGGCCATGGCCTTGGTGGCCAAGTGGCCCAAAATGGCCCCAGTGCCAGTCATGTCTGAACCGAGTGGAGCGCCTTTTCAGGCTCTTCATGGGGAAATTGCACTAGTAACAGGTGCCACGCTAGTAGTAACAGGTGCCTTACTAGTAGTAACAATGTTTGCTATTAGAATTAAAGTAAATTAATAGCAAACATTGTTACTACTAGTAAGGCACTTGTTACTAGTAGCGATGCACTTGTTCCTAATAGCGTCCTTGTTACTACTAGGAACAGCGAACCTTCTGAGTTTTGCTCCCTCCAAATTATCACGTCTTTCGCTAGAAGGTTGGTGGCCGTCGCTGAGAAAAACTTCCTGCGATCGAACTGGAGGTGAACTGTGATGCTCAGTTCTTCCCGGAGATGTCCAGCTGCTCCCTGAGCAGACGATGTCGTGGACGGACAATCTGTCGTGGGGACCACGACCTATTCTGTTCTAACAAAAAAGGGGGGGCAGAGGACGCTACTAGGAACGAAGGGCATCGCTACTAGGAGCAAGGACGCTACTAGTGGCTCCTGGCCTTACTTGGAGCAAGAAGCGAATGAAAACAAGCATGTGTTTTACAAGCGACCTCCTCGTTTGTCTTTCTTCGACTCCCTTTCATCGCTCCTCCTCGTTTGTCGCGCCGGTCCTTTGAGGTGCGTCGTCCGACCGCCGGGAGATCTTCCGCTTCGACCGGGTTCTTTGCGACGTGCCCGGGTGCCCAGAAGAAAAGCCTCCTCCAGGTCCGGGTTGTAGTAACAAGAAGCTAGTAGTAACAGGTGCCACGCTAGTAGTAACAAGTGCCTTACTAGTAGTAACAAGAAGCTAGTAGAAGTTCCTGATTAAAAAAGAAGCAAAATGGAGGATTTCAAGCAGGATCCGGAGAATGTTTGTTTCGGGCTCAAGAAGAAGCCTATCTATATAGCCGTTTTTTTGCAGATATTGGCTATTGGATTGATTCAATGTATAACGGATAATCTCAAAAGCGACATTTGAGGTGAAAGTTGTGGAATGGACGGAAGGCTGACGAGCAATTAATGACATTTTGGGATTCTATTGTTTCTATTAGCTTCTTGTTACTACTAGTAAGGCACTTGTTACTACTAGCGATGCACTTGTTACTACTAGCAAGGAAGCTACCATTTTTGTCCAAGAATTTATGTTTGAGAAAAGAGGGTATTGGAATCGCATGAAATGACTGATCCTGGGAGCTTTGGGGAGATTGTCAAAAGCAATTTTTTGAACATGCTGAAGAAGTGCTGACTCGCTGAACGAGTTTTTGCACTTCAGATCGGCTGATATGTTGTATATGCTTTGAACAAAAGGGTGCCATCGTTTTTCGTAGAATTTAGACTATTTGTGTAAAATGCGCGAGTCTCTGAAAGTCATAGCGAGCCACACGTTCGACCCGCAGGAAGCGTTTACCCAGCAACACAAATAAGTAATACCCTCGGCAAATCCTTGCAAAATAACGGATAATGAAGCATCAAAAGGAACATTTCCCACTGCTCGTATTTGTCTTCGAAAACATAGAGCTGTTATAAAAACCAGGTGCAAAAGGAGCACTCTTTGACGTTGAAGATCCAAAGAGGCTAAAGCGTTCAGTGCTCGGAGTAAAACCAGAGCTTCAAGTTTGAAGAACCTCCTCGCATTATTTCTTGACCTGTTTTTATGTGTTCGATCAACTTAAATCCAATGCCCAAGCCTTTCAAGGGTTTGGTGTTGACTCCTTGCTACTACTTCTCGTTACTTGCTACTAGCTACTTGTTAGCTCACCCTACAGCCTAGTTCCACCCCGGCAAACAAAATGTGTCACTCTTTCTAATCGCTTCTTCTTTGGACGTTTACAAGTTTACACCTTGGGCCTTGACTTTCAGCTCCCGCAATATCCCGTTACTCCTTGCAAGGAGGTAAGAAGGACTTCAAAGAAAAATGCTGTTTCAACTAACTATTCTTGAGGCAACCCATAGTTCCTTGATCTTTTTTTGGTCGTTTTTCTTTCTGGACCAGTCGTTGTACATTTTGGCAACCGTGGTCAAGGCCTTGCTCGGGCGATGGCACCTTGAGGAAGACACCGTGCGCACGGCCTTGTCGATGAACTTGCATGGACCGATATAAAGCGGGTAGTAGCGATGCCCTTTGTTACAAGTAGCCTCTTAGAAGTTGCATAAAGGAAACTGTTTTTCTGCCTCCAACCTAAAAGCGATGGGCTCCACGTAGAGCTGAAGGACTCTCAGGATTTCCTGTTGAGGAGAGTGCCAAGGAGTCGGAGAAAGTTTGAGACTGGATTGAAGAGTAACAAGAAGCTATTAGAATTAAAGTCAAAATTAAGTTAAATTAATTAAATTAATAGCTTTTGTTACTACTAGTAAGGCACTTGTTACTACAAGCGTGGCACTTGTTACTATTGAAGATGGATCTTGTCAGAGATAGGATTTCCCTTTGATTTGGACACGTCAATTTCTATGATGTTCGCCTAGCGGCATAGCGGAATGCGCTGACTTGTAATTCAGCAACAGCATAACCTTGGGGCCTTACCAGATCATCCACATTCAGGTACATCTGGAGGTCTTGGACTCCTCGAGACGGGCTTTGCCTTCACATCAGGCAGGTGTGTGTTTTGCAAACCTGACGACAAGTGCCTTACTACTAGGAGCAAGGACGCTACTAGTAACAAGTGCATCGCTAAGTGCCTTACTACTAGGAACAATGTTTGCTAGTAGTAACAAGTGCCTTCAAGAGCCTCCACGGCGATGTTGGCAGGTACTCTGCAGTCATTTGGAGGTTCTGTTTGGCAGCAAACTGGGGACTTCCCGAACACTTCTAATAGCTTTTTGTTACTACTAGTAAGGCACTTGTTACTTCTAGCGTGGCACTTGTTCCTAGTAGCTTCTTGTTAACCTCATGAGATACCAGAGATTCTTCTGTTTTCTTGCCTGTTTCACCCGACCTCCTGCGCCTCCGTTGGCTCATGTAAGCTTCGTCACTCTGAAGAGCAAGGGATGAAAGGCTGATTCGGCGTATTAAACACCCTTCCAATGAAGTATGTATTTTGTTCTTTTTGACCATTCGATTTTCAGACCTGTCCTTCCTTTCCTTTCTTCTTTTTCATGGTTGTTTCGACATGTTTCTTTCGTTTGTCAAGGCATGGTTTCGTCAGCAGATTGACTGAGCAGATACAGCCCTTAATGCTCACACGCGCACACTTAGCTTGGTGCTCGTGCTCGCAAGAGCTGAGTCCGTGAATGAAGTTCCACTTTAGTGAATACGATACCAGGTGCAAACTAGAGATTGACTTGCAAACGGAAGGGTGAAGGAGTCCGCTTCAACTGTATTGTTTAACATGGGTGAGACGGAGAAGGTTCATTAGCACTTTAGAAAGATGGAAAAAAGGAGGTGCAATCCTGAGGCGTCGCACGGGAATATCACAGTCTCAAACCACCGTCTTCGTTGGGCAGTGGATGGTAAGAGACTCACTGCCCCCCCTGCATGTGTTGGACGGTCAATTCAAGGTGAATTAGGTTGCGCAACATCCTTGGATACAGGGGCTAACACACTTATAGATATGCGTACTGAACTGACAGCGGTGCCACACGCCAGCCTAAGTGAAAAACCTAAGAAGCCAAGGTGGGTAAAGGGAAAGCTCCACCAATCTCCAAAGCTGAAAATTCTGAAGTCACGGTCTCCAAAGCTCAACGACGGTGAGGTCAGCACTAGACAATTACTGCAAAACACAGAATTGGAACAGCTTGTCCATTACGTAGGTTTCCTTCCAAGCAGGTACGTCAATCCGGCGTCCCGGATTGATTTCACGGATGCAACACTGGCGTCTTCGTTGGTGCCAGCCCAGTGTGCATCCCTGGCACCCCTGCTAAAACAATTCAAAAGAATCCCTGTGACTACAAGGGGCACACACTTATGGATATGCATACGGAACTGATAGCGGTGCCACACACCGGCCTAGGGTTCCAGTTCCTAAGAGTACCAGTAAGAACCATCGGAGCCTGGAGGTCTTCAAGAGGAAAGAGGGCCCAAAGCGGAAGTATCGAATCGACGGAGGCGGAGCGACGAGATGACGGCGGTCCGTGCACATCTGCAGAACTCACTAGCGCTTGACGATACTTCTCAGCAAAAGTTAAAATTCAAGCAGGTACAAGTGGTTGATCAGACCACTCATCCACCGAAATGCCATAGCTTCGTTGGACTGGATAGGCAAATCGGCTCCAGTCCCCCTGCTGAAAAGGAAACAAAACAATCCAGTTGGATCCCTGTGACTACAAGGGGCACACACACACACACACACGCCTCCCCAAGGGGAGGCATCTCTGCCCTAGAGCGTCCGGCACCTAGTAAGGCCAGGAGCCCCTAGTAGCGTCAAAGTAGCGTCCTGGCACCTAGTAGAAAGGCCCCTAGTAGCGTCCCACTCTAAGTTGGGAGAGAAGAGAAAAAAGAAAGAGAAGAAAAGAAAGGGGAAGAAGGTGTTCCCAGCTA